GTAGTGTCTTCTTCATCCTAATCCTTCTTGATGCCCTATGAATTTCATTTACTCAGTGTTATCTTTCAACTCTTCATCACTTGGAAGCTTCCAGGTACTCCTATCTTTCAGTCTTTTGTCATTTCTTACTCTAGAGCAGTAGTCACTTCTTCCAAGCCCAAATCACTCATAATTGTGGTAGTTGCTGTGACGGAACTTGCGGATGGGATCTCCATTGGAATCCCTCTTCTTTGAATGAGCATTGCTGCTGCAAAGTGGGACTCCACATAACTTGCACATACAGTCATAGGCCTGGTCAATGGGATCCTACCTTATCATCTGCAAGGCAAGCCTCTGATGAAACTCACAATTGCAACAATAGCTCATCACGTTGCTTACCTTCCATTCATCACCAAGGCTTCCATCAGTGCAGGGGGGCAACAAAAACACTGTTTGTTGGCTCTGAAAAATATCCCTATTCAGAGCCCAGCTTGAGGAGCAGCTGCATGGTACCAGCTATTTTAGAAACTCTGCCGTTGCATGGCAACATCGTCAGTGTACCATGGTTGGACAACATGTGGGAATGCAGCTTGAAGAGTTTTTGCAAGTGGAACCAGGGCCAGCCTGTAAAGAATCATTGAGAGTGGATCTCCCTGGATAACACCCTTGCACAAGAGCAAAACTGAAGAGGGATCTGTGGATGATTGACCCCTGAGAATCAGCTGAACAGAATGGCAGTAACAATTGAAACAGAACTGGGCTCCTGCAGGCCAAAGATGGCCAAGTTTTGAGTTCCTCACGGTCTGTGCCACCTGGCCCTGCAGCACCTGACAGGTTTACACCCACCAATTCCACTATGTCCTGTGTGACACTCAGAGGTAACTTGGTGGGGACCTTGGGATAAGGTTTGAAGACTCCTTCAGGTATGCCAAGATTTGGCGGATTTTGCAGAGGAGAATGTTTGGACTTCAATACTTCACTCACAGCTACACAGATTGGCTTGATCCCATTCTGGTAGTAGTAGTAGTACTAGTAGTAGTACTAGTAGTAGTAGTAGTAGTAAAAAAATCTTAATATTATGTTTGACCTTGTGAACTACTAGAAGAGGCACTATATGGCCAGATCCATAGCTTCATCATCTGACTAGGGAGAAGAATGCTCCTAGCTGCTCCAAGGGGCAGTACCTCCCTCTGAGGAGGTTTTGTGGAGGCAAAACCTGGTTCTATGCATACTGACAGGCCAATGAAGGCCTGGGTCTGGATTCAGAACAGGACATAGAAGGAGTTGGTTCACAGTTTGGATGGATGGGAACCATGCCATTGTCATTTCAAAGTGCACTGCCAAGCCAGAAGGCAAGTCCCACCCCAGTGATCAAGGAAATGAGTGTCAAGCACACTGCCAGGCCAGTTAAGGCATGCTTGCTTGCAGTGTACAGAGACACAGGTGATGGAGTGGTTTAAAAAAAGAAAAATCAAAAGAAAAGCCAAAAAAGAAAGCACACACTGCTTTGATATTCTTGGGCACACAAACCCCTTGGAGGTGGAGGTTGAATGGAATTTTGAATTTTTTTCATCAGTAGTAGAAGATACACATAAAAATTGCTTCCAAAAATTCAATGTACTGTGTGAAAATTAACAAAATTACTAGTTGTTGCAAAGTAAATTATGAATGAAAACACAGCAGTAAATCAAGCTTTTTGATTTGTATCAATAGCTTGCTCTGTTTCTCTCATACGAGATCAAGTGTGAATAAGCAAAAATGTGCTGTTTTGTATCAGTAGATGTCTGTTTCCTTTTTCTGAGATCAAGCGTGATTAGGCAAATAGCAGCAGAACTGACAGGGATTGTACTCACAGATGCTAACGAAGACTACTATTTGCATATTACCTGCAGTTGTCCCGACTAGAGGATTTAGTCCATGGAAAGTAAATGCATGTATCAATCACCAATGACTAAATTTAACTTCCACCTCTGAAGTCCTCCGTGAGAAAAATTGGGTTTTAAACAATGGGTGATCGCAATTTGAAACTTTTGCATTCATTCTCCGACTCAACACAGTAGGAGGAGTCTATCCTGTATCGTTTCTCTGGTCTATTGAACCAATTACTCTACTTGGCCCAGGTCCCAAAACAAGATCTTTGAGATAGTCTGTCCCGTTTCATTTTGTGTCTAGTATCACAATCCTGTCAGAATCATATTCAGGGATTTGGTTTCGTTGGTATATCGAAATCAAAATCATCTTCGGCAAAATCGTCCTCGTCAATTCCACTGAATTCACTTATCATAGATCGACTTGATGCTGTATGATTAGTGCCCCCGCTGAACTTCCGCGACAACCCTGAAAATACGTTTAAGTCCACTGAGTGCGCGCTCATTTTCGACAAACCTGACATTACTGACCGTCGACTTGCAACACCGATATATCCACTCCCMATAGAATCTTTCCGCCCACCACGATGGGTGCTAATAGCCATGTCGATGGCATTTTGACCTTGATGTTTTGAACCATGAGCCGAGAGGTTCGAAAGCAAAGAAAATTGACTATCAACCATATGGATATCTGGCATGTCATCAATGCTACGGGAAGATCCGCTCCGCAATGAAGATGCTCGGACATCCTTCAATCTTGCGAAGTTGCGTCGTCGATCTTTAATGGAAGTAGTGGGCGACCGTTGGTTGTCGTTTGTTTTCATTTGATTGCTTTCGTTAAGAGTATTTTGCCCATAGTCGTGAGTCCTTACAAATTGCTGCTGCTGTCGTCGATGTGGTTCGTTCGATCTATCAAACGGTCCAACGTCCTCTATATCAAAAGAAGAGGACCTCGTTTGGCTTCCATCCCTTCCCATTCCATTGCCATAGGCAGAAAAATCACTTCCGTTGCTATTTCTATTCTCGTTACAAGGGTAAGGTGCACTAAACGGATTTCGGATAAGGGTACGTGATCCTTTCCGATTGGTAACCATTTGCGGAATGTCTTCTCCAATAGACATTGCAAATGAATCCGTTGATCTCACGCTCGGTGTCCAGCTAGGTATGGATTGAGGAGTTGAATCCAAACTCAAATGTCGGATCATTGTCAAATCATTGTCGTCGTCAAAATCGTTACGTTGTGGTCTTGCAGGATTCTCGTCACGATGTGGTCTTGCAGGATTTTGCATCATACCATGTCTCATATTCCCAGTAGTGTCCCTTCCCATGTGGTTCCCACCCATCTGATTGAATCGGTCATATTGCTGCTGTTGTACCTGCTGTTGCATCGAAGCAAACATAGTCGAACTCGAAAAGTTCCCTGATCCAGCCCGATCATAGTTATTCATATTCATGTTCATGTTCGCATTCATGTTCGTACCACTGTTCATCCTCATGCCACCGCGCATATTAAAATTCATATCCATGCCATCGTTAATATTGTTATTCATAACGTTGCTGATACTGGGATGTACGCCACGTGGATTGTAAATACCATTCCCATAATGTTGCACAGCCTGTTGTTGCGTAGAACTATTACGAGTGGCGTCAACACCACCATTCGCTTGCTCTGCAGGCAATTGTCCCATCGCAGCCAGCTTTTTCTTGAGTTTAGGTTGCCCCTCTCGAAGAGCTTGTGAAGTCTTTTCAATTGCCTTCTTGTCCCCTATATCAGTCCAAACACCTTTTTGGGCGTCGCGTTCCAAAAATCTACCGTTTTGCTCCCGGATGGCAGCAACAATTGACCTGCTGATTTTCAGTTTCTCTGTTTTAAGACAAGTGATATAGAGAGGCTTGTTCAGATTCACAAGTCTCCGATAAGTTTGATTCCCTACATGCCTCAATGCAGCACCTCCTCTACCGCATAGCACATCTGATTCTCGTGGTTCCGTGATGTCCTTCATATCATCCTCTTCGTTACATTTTTCATGAGGTGCCATTTTCAAAGTCGTTCTCCGAAAGAGCTGTTAATTTTGCCAATTCAAACTGATATGTATGTAATTCGCGTGAAAGGATGTTTTTATTTCTAGAAATTTTAGGTTGCTGTTTGGGAGGTTGTCAGATGACACTTGTGGGAAACCAAAGTTGTTACTCAGTTTCAAAAGAGTTGTTTTGTCTCTAGACCAGATTCGAGGAAGTTGAAAGAGAGACCGCGCGCTGGCGTGCACCATGAACTGGTCCATTTCAACCTTCAAGTGAGGAAGCTTCGACGTCGAGACGAGTTGTTTTCACGGGGGGGTCATCCAAATCGTAAATGGGTCTTTTGGTTGATGCCACTGAATGTCTCTAAAAATCAAAATGAATACAGTAAAAATTTTAATTTTTTTTTGTTTTTGTTTCTTCGCGTCGACGTGTTCGGCAGTTTTAACGGTAGGCACGTGTACGAGCTTGTGTGCCAAAAATGGGTCATTCCCGGAATAAAAGTGGTCCAGAATTTGGGTCACTATTGGGTCATTCCTGTTAGTCTAGATGGTCTAAAAATCTGAAGTTTAAAAAAAAAAAATTTAGTTTAATGGAAATCATTAAAAACAGGGGCCCAACAGACATTTTTTAGGCGCTCTTTCTGGTCTTGAAGGAATTTGGAATCTCAACAGAAATGACTAAGAAGAAAAGATTTAGTAACGTAGTAAAAATTTAGTCAAGTCTTAAATTTGGCGGGTCTTTTCAGTTGAGTCCTACAACAGATTTTGATTCTTGGATTCCGGTCTAGATTTAGACTTTCTGTAAGGCCGGGAGTGGAGCGTTGACAGAAAGTCTAAAAATTAAGACTAGATGGTCTATTTTTCGTCTGTCTGTCTTCCAAAAAGTAGACCATCTACTAGACTAACAGGAATGACCCATTTACAGCATAATTTTAGATTTTGGTGGGTAACAAAATATCCAGGTAACAGCAGCAGTCCACCCACTCTCAACTTCTCAAAACAGTTGCAATAGCAGTCACAGTTCCTCTTCCTTATTTGCTGTCACGAGCAAACAATGTGCTGGAAGAGGGTACAATTAACAAGGCAAATTGTTCTTTTTGAACACCAACGACAAGTGTTTTGGTATCTACTACTACTACTACTACTACTACTAGTAATAGTAATAGTACTAGTACTAGTAGTAAGAATATCACCAAAAAAAAATTGAAAAATTACCAACGACCAATGAAATAAAATTTCTTGTTCTGTATTAGTACTGCACAACTCTACAATGTGCCTCCTGTACAATACTTACTAAGGTCTGCTTAGATTGAATTCCAATATCATTTAGAGTTCTTGGCTTCCAAATCTACAATACAGTCTCAGATTTTAGGCCATATTTTTGCCTGCAATGACTACTAGTTTGACAAAAGAAACTATTGGGTAGTACATAATGCAGGTTGTTGTCAGTGCTGGTTTGACTTTTCAATCCCACAAGTTAAGTTTTGCATGCACGTACTTCAATTGGCATTTTTTCTTTCACCATGAGACAGTTTTTTTAATCCCATGAGTCATCACCACACAGTAAAAAGATAAAATTGTCTTTTTTCAATGCAAATGCTAGTACAAGAGAGGCCTAGGTGGCTGATATTCGCAGAATGACCCAATGTTAGACAGGTTTCCATTTTCCCACATTCTTGGTGATTCCTGTTATTCTGGATGTGCCAAATATGATAGACTAACAAACAGAAGATTTCTAAGGAGGAGGTGTTCTAGATTTAGCATTTTTCACTAGACCCCCTGACCCCCATCCAAAATATGCTAGATATAATGGAACTCACTAATCAAAATTCTTTGAGTCCTCCATTGTGCTGGTAGCACACCAGAAAACTGACATCCTCTTTTTGTCTCAATGTTGAACTGTATCATATAGTAGCGTGGGCTACATTTTTCCTGCCAAACCATTCATAAATTTTTCACTTCAGATACAGCACTGTATACCTTTCAATACTTGTTAACCCCTATAACCCCCCACATGACTAGAAAGGTCTTGTTGTTGGCTTTCCATTCATGTGGTTATTAATGGAAAGTGTCCATTGTGGAACAAGATAGAGCTGTCAGAGTGAGTTGACCCTTACTTAACTCTCAACTACATGTATTTTGTACAGTGCATTGTTGATTTTGGGTCATCTAATTACTGTGTTAAAACTACTTTATCTCAACGCATTTGAGTCCCACAACAGACACTTTGCACCTCAACAGACAATCTCCTCACTAAATTAGGCCACTGATTGTGTGAACTCATAACTTGGCAATACCCCTCCTTGATACATGTGTTCTCTTTCTGGTTTGTCAGAAGGAACTGTGATGGAAGCATTTCTCCACACTACAAACACAATGCTTGAATCCCATTTCTTTCTCCTTGAAACGATTGAGAACAATACATCCTATTAGGGAGGATACCCCTGCTAAAAATGGAGGATACTGAAAAAAACAAGCAGCAGCAAAACAAGCATACTGAGCAACTCAAAACACATGATTTTCTTGTCAAAGACCTCCATAAGGATGTATCAATACGCTGAAAGCTCTCCAAACTCAGTTCCCCCATGACACACCAGAGAAATCTTGTTTGGTTGTCATCCAAAGCAAAGGGCAAAATCAAACAGGAGGAGAGCCAAAACAAAGCAGGCAAGGCATCAAGCTGGAATGCTTGTGTACAAAGGTCCCAAGGCTTGTGCTTACAAGCACTGGATGCCACAGCACAAGCTTGCAATCGTAAAGGGCAACATGGAGATGAAGTGGCACCCAGCATCAAAGGCAAGGGAAGCCATTGAGTTAATAAAGCAACAACAAATTGACCCAGGGGTAGGATGGAAGATACAGATTGTAATAGACACCTCTGCGCCTCCACCCAAAGCTCCTGAGCCCCCTCCAACAGAAATAACTGATGATCCATCCCCTCAAGTACAGTTTGTAATGAATCAAGACTAGAAGTGGGTGGAGGATTGGGAATGGAACACCAAACCTACTCTGTACATCAAGGAGCTGAATGATACCTGTGCTGGTTGTTTTAAGAAGACCTGCCTGAAAAAGAAAGATCTTGCAAAGACAATTGAGTTAGCTTAATTTGCAAAGCCACTGCTTCCTCTAGAGATGAGTGTTGGCAATAAACATGAGTGTTTCTTTGAGATCTACCAGACAGTAATGAGGAGGGAAAACAACTACTCACCTTGCATAAAGTGTGCTAAAGAGTTTGCCTATGATGAGTGGGGACATCATTTGTACATGGATCAAAGCTTCTCCTTTGATTGAGCCAACTACAAGGAGATGAATCATGAGGAGATGGTTGATCATGAGAACCAGCAAACAAATCAACAACAGTATCAGCAACTGGGAACAAAGCAACCAACTAAGCAACCAACAAAGCAACCAACAAAGCTGCATCAGCAACTGAATGAGCAAATGAATGAGCAAACTATCCATATTTAATAATTACTATTATTACTATTTGGTTCGTTATTATTGCCCTCTTTGTAGATATCATATGCTGTAGTAATGGCCAAGGCTTGTTGGCTCTGGAGATGTATGCATCAATATGGTCTAGCTTGTCATAAGTATAAAGATAAACCTCATGAGACTCATTCATTTTAATGCCCAATCATTGCTTGTCATTTCCCCCACCCCTTTCCTTCTGATGAATGTAAAGATAGGAAGATGAAATAGAGTTCACTGATCCTAAATTGCAAGCTCCAGTGCTCTGGAATGAACAATGCACCCGTCTGTAGGTTTTGGTTCCTTTGTGAGGATCAGCTGTTACAGTCTTGTTCACAGCAGTGACAGACTTAGCAAGACATGACATCTTTGCTCTCCGTTTCCTGCTTGGATCCCCAGCAACGTTCTTCTGATGAAAGTACTTTCCAGGAACCTTTGCAGGTAATCTGTTCTTAGCAGCAACTGTTCCTGTCATACCCAAGCCTTGCTCACCCATCCAATCCAAGATGGAATCTGCTACTAGAAAGAAATTGCCAGCTGTGATATGGGGCGGGGACATAAACAGCTTTCCCAATCCAATGTTACCAATAACAAAGTTTTCAACAAGGTAGTAAACTTCAGCAGGGTCAGTGCACAAATGTCTATCATCACCAGATTCCCATCCAGAATATCTGTGTTTCCATTCTCTGGGGCGGATGCAATCAACATCAGAGATTATGACTGTCTGTCTGCCTCTTGTTATCATCTTTCCTTTGAGATAGTTTACAAGTGGACCACCAAAGCCTTGATATAGACAGCTTGTCTTGCCAATACATAGGTCCAAGCCTGCCCATTCAGTGAAATAATTTGTATTGTTGACAATAGTCTTGTAGATGTAGTAGTCAAACTTGTAAGCTAGCTTGCCACTGATGGGGGATCCATGGTAGGTCTTTTCCAAATCATTTTTGCATAGCTTCAAGCAAGTTCCTTTTAATTTCATGCCACCTTGTGCAAGTCATTGTGTTCACAATGGCCTCATTGAATGAAAGATATTTTGCATTCCATCTATACATGATGTTTTCAGTGGCTCCATCACAAGCACCATGCATAAAAAGGATGCCATCAGCAAAATGAACTGGTTCTTTTGTCAGACCATGTTGCTGAAGCTTGAAGATATCTAGCTTCCCCTTCCTCTCATCCAGAAATATGTTATCCCTAGTAGCAAACTTCCTTGCAAACTGGTTGTTAGGATCTTGTTCCACAGTACTGTCCCACCCTAGGTAATGAAACTTCCATCCATTCTGCTCCCTTATAGGTTCCTTGCCAAGACCAGCTAAGTGTTTAAGAATTTCCACAGGCTTACACTCGTCAGAAGGAAGGAAGTGACCTTTGTATTTCCCTGTGCCTTCTTCAAACTTGGCTCTGTACTAGTAAGAATAGGGGTGCCAACCACCGGGATTATCAACATCATTCCAGTCTTCAGGTTCTCCTTTCTCAACCTTTGGATCCTTCCTTTCATAACCCACTGGAACCTTTGGAAAGTTAAGACTGCTGTCAACAATAGTTCCATTCTTCCAATAGAAGAACTTAGTAGCATGAAGCTCAATTGCGTTGTCCCAATTCCAAGCTGTTTGACTCTGAATGATAAAATTGAAGAACTCTGCTTGTGCTGCCTCCTTGTGACTCATTTCAGAAGCCTTGGAATCATAATTAGGCTCAGTATCATTAACAACCTCCTC